ACAAAAAATCCCACAAAATAAATAGAAATTAATAAATAGGAACAAATCACTGCACAGCCCTTAACTCTTTGATTGCCAGACAAGAACCAAAAAAGACAATTCCAGCGTATGACATTTTTATTTTGTGGTTAAAGGTTGATGCAGCAGTTAATGGGTTATTATACTATTGTAAACATAAGTATTTTGTTGAAAAAAATGCTCAGTTATGTAAATGATTTACAGCAATATGATTAGTATCATGACCCTTGACCTTTAATTATGCAACATTATAAAGACTTAAACAATAATAATTTGATGAACTGGTACATAGATTAATTAACCCATTTTATTTAACAGTGCATTATGAGATGTTGATTTACTAATAACATGTGTGTATAATAAAACACTGTTAAATGCACTGTTAAATCTCTCAAAGCACCACAAATATTTGCCTGATTATATCTGATGATCTTTAATATTATACACTTTAGCACCATTTAAGTCAGCCTTGCTTTCGCACACAAACAAATATTGTGTTTGTCCATAGAAAGTACTTGAAAGAATAATATCTCATTTGTTAAACAATTAATGGACAAATGTTTTGGGAAGAAGACAGTAATGTTGTTTAATTTTGTTCAACTGTCATATGGTAAATCATAGAATTTGTGGAACACACAAAGACTGTTGTCTGTTTACCTGCAGCATTCTGAACCAACTATGGTAAAAAAGATGTAGAGTCAAAAAGGGAAAAAATATTGTGTTTATATTTCTACACGTAGGTATATAGATCTTAGTTACTTGTTAGGTTTTTTTTATAGCAATTGCACTTGCCTATAAAAGGACCTGCAACTTACTGAAGAACATTGCAGCTTGTGGGTAGGGGATGAGGTGGAGTTACTACTAAAGTTCCTATATTCTTTTTTGTCTTGTCTGTAAGGATAACATTAAATAAATTTTCAGGTGTCATATTGTAAGAGTGAAAGTAGAATTAAAAAGGAGAAGGGTTGATTTCTCGTAATTAGATAATTTATTACTTCTAGGTCAAAATCTTGCTCTTCATCCCTAGAAACATAAAGGAACCATATCAGAATAATCCTGTTAGTTATTATACGCCTTACAATATAGAGGTTTGCTGGAAAAGGGTACTTTCTCTTGCAAAGTATGATAAACATTCCTGAAGTGAAGAAAACCGCTGATATAAATGACTTATCAAAAACAAAAACAGGAAAAAGCTACAGAAATTCAAATGGTCACTAGCTGACAGCAATTGGTAAAAATTAGCTGTATTTCTTTGCTGCCATCAACTGTCTGACTATATTTTTTTCAGGTTTTGTACATGGCAGCCCTAATACAAGTAGTGGTGATGGTAGTAGTATTTTTATTTTTCAACAGTTATTGTGTATAGGAAAAACCTAAAAACAGGAGAGTTGACAACAGTAAGAAAGGAAATCACTTCCCTTTCTGAAATCAATTCCTTCCAGAAATTGCTGATTTCTGACCAGCAATAAATCATCAGGTATGAGGAAACAATCATATTTTACTTGTGGACTTGGGCTAGATCAGCATGTAATTTTGAAAAAAAAATATAAATCTTTTAATGCATATAGGTAAGTATTAGGGTTGTGCCCACATAGAAAATGATTCACAATAGCTTTGAATTTTGCAACTGCAGCATGTCTCCCTGCAAGACTGAAAAAGTGGCATTGCGGAAAGAAACCCACCAATTAAAATTAAAGTGATTTTTAAAGCAAGTGGCACCCTTTTTCAGGTTGCTACAAATGCCTGAAAAGTAACTACTTTAATGAATAGCAGGAAAGTGCTGGGCTTGTATCAGGTTCAAAGCTCCTGAGTTTTGAAGATGAAGAGCCCTAGAGAATATCTATTTTTTAAAAAAAATCTGGATTTGTTATTTTCTTAGAAATGGCAAACAGATTGATGACACTGGTTATGGCAAGAAGAGGTCATCTCCACATTAGCCCTATATATCCTATCTCCCATATTCCTTAAAATAAACTGCCAAAGTTTTAACATTTCCAGTGTTTCTAAAGATACACAGGGTTTTCAAAGCTGGAAAGAGGTGGCATTAAAGAGGGGATCAGATTGGAGAAAGCTTCATTAAAGGTCATGGCAACATCATGTAGTTGAGTAGTCTGGCAGCATATGGATTAGATAGCAAAGCTAAGACAGAAATCTCAACATTGCAGAAACATCATCCTGCAATGTTGAGATTTCTGTCTTAGCTTTGCTATCTAAGACTCTTAGTCATAAAATGAAAGTAAGTGGCAACCCCAGACACAGTTAGAATTGTGTCAATGTTTACCAAATTGTCTGACCAGAGCTTGTTGAATCATAAAGCTGGTGTACATATTCAAACATCTATATGGAATTCTACAAAATGGTAAACAGTTTCACAGGTAAAGGAAAGGACCAACAGCTAACATATTTTATGATGAAACTGTAAGGCACCCATACAAATGTATGCTATTATTATTATTTAGACCCAGACTATCTTCTGGAATGATGCCAGGGTAGTAACACCTTGGACACATCCTCATGCAGGCAAGGATATAGGAAAAAACCACCAAGCTACAATATTTAACTCTGTAATTCAAGACTCTCTCTGTTTGTGTGTTTACCTTATGTTGGTGTGAGTCATGTCAGGCTGAAATCTGAACCCAAAGACATGTCTCGCCATTTGGGGTTGCTTGCACTAATTCGATCAAAGGAAAACACAAAAATGCTTTTAGCAGCAGTTCAACATTTTAAAAACCTGGTAAAATTTACTGGGAAATGACTTTAACCCTTTATTAGATGGCCCAAAAATTTACAAGAAAAGAAAAATGCATGTCAATGAACATGCTGAGGACTTTTGCACTTCACTTGATTCTGTCCTTATTTGTTCTATTTTAATTGGTTTGCGAATTTGTATATGCCTACAGAATATTATAGCACTATACTGAACATTTTGCTCAACTGGAACTATATATTCTTATACCATTAAATTATCATTCATTTGAATGTTATATCTGTATCCCTGCATTAAACAACCACATCAATATTGTGCCCTGGAAATTTTACATTTGATTATTTTTCATGAGAAACCAGTAATTTGGAAAACTTGGGGCACTATAAAATTAAAGGTTTTGTGTTTAATAAATGGCCACTTAATTTGAGAAATAAACTTCAGTTTAGTTTAGTTTATAATAGTAAAATATTTAAACCAGAATTTAATTAGAGTATAATTAGTAGGATAAAAGGGAGAACAGCATAGTTTGCATGTAACCCAGATATCAGCATTAATTCAGTTATCATTAGAATTTTAAACATATCTTTGCAACATTAAAAGGTACGCCTACCATGCAGCCATGTCTGGCAGATTGTGAACTTAAGACAATGAATGAAAAAAGAAATAGATCTATGACTATAAAGTTGTCCCAAGGTATATGGGATTAAGAATTTCCTATTCTCATCTGCTTAATTTTTACTAAAAGGTCTTATATGTTGTCAAAGGAGTTAGAACTTAATGTGCTTAGTTGATCTGGTTGCCCAACGTGTTAGAATATTAGAGAAGAAGCTATTTGGCCAATTATATAATCTAAAGATACAAGGATCTCTTAGTGAATGTGCACATCAGATATTACAGATAGAATTTTAGATTAATAATCTTTTTTTTCCAGTGGGTGACATTCATAAGTCTAGTTGCAAGATAATGAATACTGAAACTTCTTTCAAGATTGTCAATTAGCACAATACATTTGTATCAACAAACCAGAACAGAATCCCTTGTTTTATATGATATGCAGCAATCATTTCAATCGCCAGTATGGTAGCATGATAAAATAAAACTATGCAGACAATCCAATAGAAACCTCACAGTCCTCAAATAAAAAACTCTAATCAGCCACTAGCATATATGATTTGAAGAATATAATCATTGTAACTAATGTAGTCCTCTGCACATTACAGTTTATACATAAGTAAAACTCTAATGAACTCAAGGAGATTTCAAACATATATAGAATTGGATTATATACACCTAGATTACTATATAAATCAAAACTGTACTTATTATTTTCACTTATTGCATATGTTTTAGTAGGCAAAATTGGCATGAATGCTCTATTGATTACTTCCATAATCAAGTTAGATATGGAAATTTTCAATACATTTAACTAGATGTTTTCACAAAATTTTGACCACATTCTTCTGATTCTTAAGCCATACTTACCACAAAAAACTCTAAAAAATAAAAGAGAGACGAGGGAGAGGGAGAGGGAAAGAGGGAGGGAGGGAGGGGAAGAGAGAGAGAGAGAGAGAGAGAGAGAGAGAGAGAGAGAGAGAGAGATTTTAAAATTTTACTCAAAGATTTCAGAAGCTCTTATTTGGAGTAATATCCTATTTTTTTCCACATCAGATAACCGAGTATCAAATATTTGTTTTTCTCTAAAGGAGGTTAAATCAGTAAAATTTATGACAAACAAAACATGCTATTTATCCCTTTATAATTATAGCACACCCTAACTATGTAGATGGACTGACCTAACAATGTTGATTGAGCAATATGAGTATAGGTGTGTTTATTAAAAATAGGTTTCTATATATTATGTGTTATGAAGTGACATTGATTTACACATTGTATATGTGATGAAATTAGTCTCATCTATAAAGGAACATTTGGATTTTTATTCAAAATAAAGGATTTATTCAAAAGTCAGTGCTACTTTTTATTTCTAAAATTGGAATTTTCTTCAATTTCTTACCAAAAGCTTAGTGAAATAATCTGTCTTTTAAAAAAAAAAATCCTTTTTTTTCTGGAATGTAATATTTTGCTTTTTATCTCATAAGGTTTCAATTTCTCAATAAATTTACACCCTTATACTGAACTTATATACATCCCCATGTCTGTGGAAGTGAAGATAAAAATTAATTTAAATACAAGAGAGGGGAAAATATCAATTGATTGCTTTATAAAAGAAAAGAAAAGGTGACATAAGTTTGCCTTCTAAGACAAAGGTATGTCCAATTCCCCCCCCCCCATATTTATGCATTCATATTATATCCAGCACTATACATTATTACCCTTAACTTTTTGTAAAACTATTGTATAACTCCACCAAATGCAAATATTGGTTTTCCCTTATTTAAAAAAAATGGCTGCATTTTTTCTCCTTCTTTCTTTTTTTAAAGGAAATCTGAAAGGGAAATGAAACATTTAAATGAATAGGAAAATAAATATTGTCTGTTGTCTTATATTAAAGTAATGGATAAATAACCATGAAGATGCAAATTTTATTGACTGTTATCCATCTGTCAGTTTTGTGAATGTTCATAATATATCTATGTTTCCATTTTCCAAATACAGATCAGTCAATGCTGACAATCACTTATAGGAAGCTCCAACTGATGTGTCCAAAGTTTTGGATATTCACCAAACCTGTCTGTAAACACCTGTCTTAATATATAAGTATCAACATTCACTTTTAATCTCTTGAAATAGCATATAAATTTTATGGATTGGACCCAAATTCAAAGTAGACTCATTCATATGATGAACTTCAAACCAAAATATTGGCTACAGTTAAATACAACCAATATAGTTTAATTATTTTAGCTGCAGTTAAGCACAAGAGAGCTTGAGACAAAAGGAAAAAAAATACATCTTAGCCAGTAGCAGAGCTGATTGCTGATAGAAAATTATAATGCTTTTCCCACTTAACTGATATATTTTGAAAGAGAAGGGTAAGGAAATGGAGAACGCTGAGATCTGTTCACTATACATAAGTCATGTAGTGTACCATTAGCTGAGTTAGATATAACTGGATATATAATGGTCTCACAATCGTTAGAATACTGCATATCACACCTTTAAGAGATTCCAAACCTCAATTTGCAATGCATATGTGCTATAAACTAAGAATTGTTTTGTCTTTGATTCTGTCATTCATTCATCAATTTGTTTATGCTGATGGGGGTGTTGTCTGTGCAATCCTGTATTACATGCCTCTTTTCTTTACAAAATAAACCCTCGATTCAGAATAAAAAACAAAACCCCAAATCATGTTTATTTGAATGATATTAATCTTCATGCTGTACTCAATAGAAATATAAATTCAAGGCAGTCCAGCTAGTCATTACCAAAAAATAATACGTATATACTTACACTCTCTATAAAATGATTTGGTAATATGGATTAGGAAATTAGTAAGAAATTGTTTTTAACCATAGTATATTCATGTGTGTGTTTGTGTATATATACACACAAGAACCCATACTTGTCAATGATGGCTGTTTTCAAGTATTTTAGTATTTGTATGCATTTTAGAATGCATTTAAAACAAATCATATGTAAAAAGGACTGGTTTCACATGAAACATTTTATCAAAATTAAATAGAAATTTGTCTACTGTAGTTCATTATTAGAGTGTGCATGTATACATAGCAATTTTTTCCCATTCCCCTTGTACCAGTTACTAATGCTGGGCACATTCCATTGAAAAATTCTCTCCCAATGGAGTCAATGGGAACTAAGCAGGAATAAGATCATATTGTCTGCATCTATTACAGCTAGAAGAAGGACTTCTCACCCTTTGCCCTTCTGTAATGGAACAGATGAATTCAGATAACATACATTAGGCTTGTTTTTTCTTGTATAAATGTAGTCCCAATCCAAAATGTTTGGGAACATCTTATTTCCCATTCAGCTTGTGCCAGTTTGCAAGTTAAAGGTCAAAGAGCAAAGAAATCAAATAGTACACAGTAAGGAAATTTAGACAGCAATTTTTTCCTCTTTTTTCACAGAAGACAATGTTTAACTCAATAATGACAATCAACAGATCAATGAAGTTCAAGGCAAGCTGTTCATTGTATCAAAAGCTATCTCCCTGGAATCCTAGCTTTCATAAAAAGTCAGGTATCTATCTAGTAGGGTGCATTCTTTCTGAAAACTTTTCATAAATTCACAGCCCAGTGACTGTAAAAAGCCTGTCACTGCGAGAAGCAGCTCCTAAAATCAATAAAAGAGGTCTGTCAGTTGCTGACTTTCTCTAGGAAAAAAAATATTAATATATAACCTGCTCTGCAGGTCACATGAAAATGACAATACTGCTGTTAGCATAAAATTACATAAGATGATATAATGCCAGGTAGTCCTGGGTTCTTCCCATGATTTAGTGCACAGCTAAATGCCAGAGGTCTTGCCAACCCTTTGAGAACTAAGATGAATACCAAATGACCACATTTTGTGAACAGGTGGGAAAGTGAAACAGCACCCAGGCAGTATCAGATGTTGCTTTCTTTTCTCCTTAATAGAGTTAACTATGCTTATAAGTGTCCATATTCAAAAGCAAGTTCTGTATTCATGCAGAATAATATTTCAAAAAACTTAAAAATACAAGCTTTTTAAAAAATAAAAATGAAGCCAATTGTTACATAGAAGAATTCCATCTAGTCCCACAATTAAACCCCATTTTCCTATTGCTCTTAGGCTGGAGGCATGGAAACTGAAGGTAATGTGATAGAAGGACAGTGTCTCTTTCTTTTATATTCATCCCTGTTATACTGCTGTCATTTCTAATCAACAGAGCTCAGCACAAAAAAGCCCAACAAAACTAGTGAGCAGAGACAATGTAATCCATAGACAGTATTGCCTCCTGCTAACATACGATCTTTGAATTGCTGAAAATTATATGCATCTGTCTCCAGCCAAACTGTAGCCAAGTGTTCCATTCTGCCTACTGTGGTTCACAATGGTACGATGCATGGTCCTCCAAGCACAGTACCAAAGAAAAGGTCACTTGCATGATAAGAACATAATGCCATTCATCAAGTGCTCTGCCATGTTTCCTGGCAGATATTTTTTTTAAAAAAACAACAACAGTTCACGCACCCATTTTTCAAGAGTGTAAGGGAAGCTCATTATTTGTTAATGGGACCCATGGGGTCTACCAATAATGAGATCAATAGTGTTGGGAGAAAAAGAGCAGCAGAGACGTAGGAGACTGATAAAATGGCTTGGCATAGCACAAGCTGAAGACAAGGAGGCAATGTTGAAGAACTGTCACTACACATTCAGTATGACAATTAAAATAAATAAATAAACCCAGAAATCAACTGGCAAATCCATAGTTACATTTTTTTTTTTACTATCACCAATGTGGCTTTTACTAGAAATAACCCACAGTTATTTCGGCATTCTGTCTAGAATTGTGATGGGCTTATTCAACCCCAGGGCTAACAACTGCCTTCCATTATCTGCAAATCCCCTTGTCCACTGCCAAACCCATTCTGGCTTCCTCTTCATTATGCTACTATGAAGTATCATAAGAAAATGTGCCAGCCTGGACCACCTACTTTGTCCTGGAAACACACTAGAAGCAACAGTGATGGAGAAGATAGCATTGGCATTGAGGGCTCTGTAGATCTGGTTTATGAGTTATAGGGTGTTACCTTTAAGTAAAAGCAGAATCTGTACACTATTACCATTTCAATTAATATTATTTTTCACACTGAAAATTGGTCTGATAGTTCTCAAAGAGTCACTGATTATATAAACCTAACACTAGTCTTATGTTTCTCAGTAACTTGTAATGTTATTTGATTGCATTCTTATTTCTGGAACTTGCTGCTTTCTAGTCTGTTTCAAAATAAGGTTTCTGAGAGGCTTATGGAAAGCCTGGGACTAATTTGCCTGATACAATTCTGGAGAAAAGAGGACGTGGAGAGGCAAGAAACCAATAAATGCTAAACCAATCAGTAAAAAGAATACTCTCTGAATATAGTGACGAATATAAATGTGTGAAAACATTGAGAACATAGCTCTGAACAATTGTATAAAACACAAAATGAATATATTATTAAGGCTGTTACTATATTGCAGATATTTTGGCCCCTTGTTTGTTGGAAAATGGCTGTCCAAACAGTCAGAATTCCTGTATGTCATCATGATTTCCCATTTGATAAAAATTATGTGTAGGAGTATAGGACTATATCTGTAGCTGACAGAAAGCAATCCTCTTTGGAGACAAAGCTGTTTTGGATCTTCACACTTCCTGAAAGTTCCAATGTGATTGTTGTGTTTTAGTTGCTCTATCTTTTCTCTTTAAAAAAATGCTTATATGTTTTCTTTTTTTTTTAACATCACACAAAACTCTTTTGAAGAAAGAAAGAAAGAAAGAAAGAAAGAAAGAAAGAAGGAAGGAAGGAAGGAAGGAAGGAAGAAAGAAAGAAAGAAAGAAAGAAAGAAAGAAAGAAAGAAAGAAAGACCCAACTGGGATGTCAGAGATTCTTCTTTTTTCATGTTGTTCTTTTTTATGAATATCCTGATTGTTTTGCATTGGGCATATTGAGCGTGCAGAGGAAAGGCTGGAACTGAATGACAAAGACAGACGAAGGACTGGAGAAATGGCAGGTACTGTGTGCGACTGAAGCTTCCTACTGAAGAAAATTCTCACTCATGTGCAGGACAAGCAGCCCCCTGGACTTTAAAGATCATCCCTGGCTGAGACAGACAGGCCTGCTCCTTGGTAGGAAACTCCATAACAGCTCTTTTGTTGGATTTCATGTTACCACTACTCCTGGGAGAAAACAAGAAAAAAAAATCCTTACATCACACCCACTCTTGCATAGAGCGTTTGCAGTAAAGTATGTGGCGGGGTGTTCCTTTCCTCTTGAATTGGAACACAGTGTAAACCAAGACAAGGAGGCACAGGGCCAGTATGCAAGGAATGACAATGGCTATAGCTTTCACAGTGCTGGCTGTGTTGTCCAGTTTAATGACAATGTCTACATCATCTTGAGGGCTGTGTTGCTCTTTGTCCCGGTCTGCTGGTCCATCACAACCCATAAAATCCTTGAGGATAGATCTGGGATATCCCGGTTCCACCCGGAGCATTTGATTGTTGAATTTCCAGTATTCTTTGCCTTTGTAGAAATACGTGAAGCCTATTTAGAAACAAATATTGAGTTATTTAAATGGATTAACATTTGGATATTGCTCAGTAAAAGAACCTACTGAAACTGAGACTACAACTACAATTTGAAAATGAATACAAGTTCTTCCAACTTTGCTGACAGAGCTTCATGATTCTATACACTGTCTTTAGTATGATTGCTATATAGTGTCTACAATTTTGTGAAGCATTTTTTTTCATTAAAATATTCTTTTGTTCCCATAAAATAAGACTGCTTGTGTACCGATTACAATTCTGATTGAGTCATGACTTGAAGTCTAACTTGTTTAATATGATGGAAGAATTAAGGTAAATACAATTTTAAACTGACACTTAAAAATAACTTAAGTCTGATTTGCTCAAGGAGCAGAGGAATAGTGGTCGGTTGTTGCAAATTATAGTAGTGAGTTAGTTAAATTGCTCCCACCCTCCTGAATCTCTTCCCTGTTGCATCATCATCTTTGAAATGAACTCTGAAACACAAAACAGGTGTACACAGCTTCATATCTTCAGCAGAGAGCTCAAATTGGATCATTCAAAAGCAAACTAGGACAATTACAAAGGGTGCCTAATTGCAGAAATCAGCCTCCCTGCCAAAAATTTTAAAGTTTTTACTGCCTCAGCAGAAAAATGGCACTAATCCAGTATGAAGCAAACTTTCACAATGGGTAAACAGTCTCCTATTATTTATCAACTGAATGCAAACCATTGGAGTTTTATCCAACTTTATAACTTTGCCTCTTACAATTGAGAGTAAAAAAATAACTTGACAAATTGCAACAATTCATAGCAATAATATAACAGACATATAAACAATAGGCTTTTGCCCTTGAATGATAAAGAGGTCAAATCTTTATTTTTTTTAATCACTTCTTTCCCTATTCAAATTAAGCACCACTTATTTTGGTTTCTGGTTTGCAATTTTATGCAGGAACATAAAAACAATTTGATTTGGCTACTAAATAATTTTCATTATCTTTCTAAAAATTGAATGTATGTGAAGCTGCTTTGGAGTAATTTTATTTTGGTGCAATAGACACAATCTTTCCCCCATTTTTAATGTGCTTACTAGCTTGGCTTGGATGATGAGGCTTTAAAGAGGTGAGCTAGGAGAAAGAAAATATGTCCCTCAATATATTCTGCAAGTTTCATATTTCTGCACCCTTCCAAATTGCTTAAGTATAAGTTCCACTGAAATCAAAGAGGCTTCTTTCAAACAATATTTACAATATTTTATTTCAGTGCAAAAATATTCTCTTGGTGACTGGGGTATTGGAATATCCATTTTAATATGAAAGCTCACAATTGTTTTGTTTTTCTGGGATGTCACCATGGAAGGACTAGGAATCGCTACTATATCTCAGAGGCTGCCACAAAGAGGGAGTCAAGCTATTCTCCAAAGCACCTGAAGGCAGGGCAAGAAGCAACAGATGGAAACTAACCAAAGAGAGAAGCAACCTAGAACTAAGGAGAAATTTTCTGAAAGTTAGAACAATTAACCAATGGAACAACCTGCCTCCAGAAGCGGTGAATGCTCCAACACTGGAAGTTTTTAAGAAGAGACTGAACAGCCATCTGTCTGAAATGGTATAGGGTTTCCTGACTAAGCAGAGGGTTGGACTAGATGACCTCTAAGGTCCCTTACAACTTTTATATTATTATTATTATTATGGATCATCGCACAGTCAGCCAGATGTTCAGACTGGATTTGGCATTTTGTCTACCTATCGAGTCCTTACCCAGGACCTGGGATAGGCAGATGTGGATGTTTGATGGTATTACAGATATCGTCGCAGGATGGAAGCAGTTCCTAGTAAGGCCGCCTTTTGCAATTGACTAATAGCGAATTTGTCAATGCCAATGGTGTTCAAGTGGTGCTCCAGTTGTTTTGGGATTGCACCCAAGGAGCCTATGACTATTGGTACTACCCTTGCTTGCTTTTGCCACAGTCTTTCTATTTCTATTTGTAGGTCTTTGTATTTTGTTATCTTCTCCAGTTCTTTCTCTTCTATTCTGCTATCTCCAGGCACTGCCACGTCCACTATCCAGACTTTTTTGTCTTTCTTATCGACAATTGTTAAGTCTGGGGTGTTATGTTGCAGGTGCTTGTCTGTTTGAATTCTGAAGTCCCAGAGCAGTTTAATTTTATCATTTTCTATGACTTTCTCTATTTTATGATCCCACCAGTTTTTGCTTACAGGCAAATGATATTTTTTGCAGATCTTCCAATGCACCATTGTTGCTACTTTGTCATGCCGCTGCTTGTAGTCAGTCTGTGCAATCTTCTTGCAACAGCTTACCAGTGGTCCACTGTTTCTTCAGCTTCTTTGCATAGGCGGCACTTACTGTCTGTTGCTGTCTTTTCAATTTTGACTTTATATGCATTTGTCGTTAAGGCTTGGTTTGTGCAGCCAGAATTAGTCCCTCAGTCTCTTTCTTCAATTTTCCTGCTCTTAGCCATTGCCAGGTCTTGTTATTATCTGCTTTCCCAGCTATTTTTTTTAATGTATTGGCCATGTAGTGCTTTGTCTTCCCATGCCTCTATTCTGTTCTTCATTTGGTCTTTCTTGTAGGCCAGTTTGGTCTCTCCAGTAGTCAGTAAGCCTTCCTGATATACTAATTTCAGTGCATCTTCATCATTGTTCTTCAGATATTCTTCCAAAGCCATTTTTTCTTCTTCAACCATCTGATGTACTTGTAGCATTCCACGCCCACCTATTTGCCTTGGTAGATAAAGTCTGTCAATGTCACTGCGTGGATGAAGGGCATGATTCATTGTCATTATTTTTCTGGTCTTCCTATCCATTGCTTTTAGTTCTGCTTGAGTCCAGTCCACTATTCCAGCTGTGTACCTAATGACTGGGATTGCCCAGGTGTTGATTGCCTTTATGGTATTTCCTCCATTGAGTTTGGACTTTAAGATCTTCTTCACTCTCTTGATGTATTCACCTCTAATCTTTTTCTTGACTTCAGTGTGCTTGATGTTGTCAGCTTGAAGGATACCCAAGTATTTGTAGTAATCTTCCTCATCCAGACTCTTAATGTTATTTTCGTGGGGCATCTTGATTCCTTCAGTTTTCACTACTTTTCCTTGTTTGATAGTAAGTGTGGCACATTTGTCCATTATTATTATTATTATTATTATTATTATTATTATTATCATCATCATCATCATCATCGCACAGTCAGCCAGATGTTCAGACTGGATTTGGCATTTTGTCTACCTATCGAGTCCTTACCCAGGACCTGGGATAGGCAGATGTGGATGTTTGATGGTATTACAGGTATCGTCGCAGGATGGAAGCAGTTCCTAATAAGGCCGCCTTTTGCAATTGACTAATAGCGAATTTGTCAATGCCAATGGTGTTCAAGTGGTGCTCCAGTTGTTTTGGGATTGCACCCAAGGAGCCTATGACTATTGGTACTACCCTTGCTTGCTTTTGCCACAGTCTTTCTATTTCTATTTGTAGGTCTTTGTATTTTGTTATCTTCTCCAGTTCTTTCTCTTCTATTCTGCTGTCTCCAGGCACTGCCACGTCCACTATCCAGACTTTTTTGTCTTTCTTATCGACAATTGTTAAGTCTGGGGTGTTATGTTGCAGGTGCTTGTCTGTTTGAATTCTGAAGTCCCAGAGCAGTTTAATTTTATCATTTTCTATGACTTTCTCTATTTTATGATCCCACCAGTTTTTGCTTACAGGCAAATGATATTTTTTGCAGATCTTCCAATGCACCATTGTTGCTACTTTGTCATGCCGCTGCTTGTAGTCAGTCTGTGCAATCTTCTTGCAACAGCTTACCAGTGGTCCACTGTTTCTTCAGCTTCTTTGCATAGGCGGCACTTACTGTCTGTTGCTGTCTTCTCAATTTTGACTTTATATGCATTTGTCCTTAAGGCTTGGTCTTGTGCAGCCAGAATTAGTCCCTCGGTCTCTTTCTTCAATTTTCCTGCTCTTAGCCATTGCCAGGTCTTGTTATTATCTGCTTTCCCAGCTATTTTTTTAAATGTATTGGCCATGTAGTGCTTTGTCTTCCCATGCCTCTATTCTGTTCTTCATTTGGTCTTTCTTGTAGGCCAGTTTGGTCTCTCCAGTAGTCAGTAAGCCTTCCTGATATACTAATTTCAGTGCATCTTCATCATTGTTCTTCAGATATTCTTCCAAAGCCATTTTTTCTTCTTCAACCATCTGATGTACTTGTAGCATTCCACGCCCACCTATTTGCCTTGGTAGATAAAGTCTGTCAATGTCACTGCGTGGATGAAGGGCATGATTCATTGTCATTATTTTTCTGGTCTTCCTATCCATTGCTTTTAGTTCTGCTTGAGTCCAGTCCACTATTCCAGCTGTGTACCTAATGACTGGAATTGCCCAGGTGTTGATTGCCTTTATGGTATTTCCTCCATTGAGTTTGGACTTTAAGATCTTCTTCACTCTCTTGATGTATTCACCTCTAATCTTTTTCTTGACTTCAGTGTGCTTGATGTTGTCAGCTTGAAGGATACCCAAGTATTTGTAGTAATCTTCCTCATCCAGACTCTTAATGTTATTTTCGTGGGGCATCTTGATTCCTTCAGTTTTCACTACTTTTCCTTGTTTGATAGTAAGTGTGGCACATTTGTCCATTATTATTATTATTATTATTATTATTATTATTATTATTATTATTATTATCATCATCATCATCAATCATCGCACAGTCAGCCAGATGTTCAGACTGGATTTGGCATTTTGTCTACCTATCGAGTCCTTACCCAGGACCTGGGATAGGCAGATGTGGATGTTTGATGGTATTACAGGTATCGTCGCAGGATGGAAGCAGTTCCTAATAAGGCCGCCTTTTGCAATTGACTAATAGCGAATTTGTCAATGCCAATGGTGTTCAAGTGGTGCTCCAGTTGTTTTGGGATTGCACCCAAGGAGCCTATGACTATTGGTACTACCCTTGCTTGCTTTTGCCACAGTCTTTCTATTTCTATTTGTAGGTCTTTGTATTTTGTTATCTTCTCCAGTTCTTTCTCTTCTATTCTGCTATCTCCAGGCACTGCCACGTCCACTATCCAGACTTTTTTGTCTTTCTTATCGACAATTGTTAAGTCTGGGGTGTTATGTTGCAGGTGCTTGTCTGTTTGAATTCTGAAGTCCCAGAGCAGTTTAATTTTATCATTTTCTATGACTTTCTCTATTTTATGATCCCACCAGTTTTTGCTTACAGGCAAATGATATTTTTTGCAGATCTTCCAATGCACCATTGTTGCTACTTTGTCTTGTAGTCAGTCTGTGCAATCTTCTTGCAACAGCTTACCAAGTGGTACACTGTTTCTTCAGCTTCTTCTTCTTCTTCTTCTTCTTCTTCTTCTTCTTCTTCTTCTTCTTCTTCTTCTTCTTCTTCTTCTTCTTCTTCTTCATTATTATTACTACTACTACTACTACTACTACTACTACTACTACTACTACTACTACTACTACTATGGAGTTTCCATTGATAGTTTCCATTATCTTTCCATGAATCTTTTATTATGACTACAATGCAAGTTCATTTATCAACTTACTAATTAGCTTAATAATATGCATTATTTTGACACAAATCATCTTGTTAGTATTATTTGCTTGGATTATTTGACACTGGATAATCATCACCACCATTACCATATACTTTTGAACAATTACTGCTATATGCTGTGGTATTAGACAATGCACTTGAAATCTTGCCGGACAATATTAAGTTTATTATATCTGTGAAGGGATCTAATGCAGCAAAACAATAACATCAAGATAGTTTTGGGGTTATTATCAACAAATTCCCTTACAGTCTGTCACACATGTTCTACATAAAGCTAAGATCCCACTGATGAGAAGAAAATGCTTATTTTGGAGCAACATAATTTTCTTAATCTGTCAGGCAACATTCTTTTGCACTGATTCCCCAAACACCTCATCCTCCTTGACCTCTTAAGTTGCTTCTTTTTTACTCTTTCTTGTTCAGCACCCATTACAGTGTAGGTGTCTATGAGTCAGTCCTCAGCTGTTTGCAAGAGAAAGGAATATTTCCCCTCTCTTCATTCTGGTTAGTACATTCAAATATGTTTTTGATAGTTTGCTATTCTTTCTCAAATCTGAAGTTGGATCCTGGTTAGCCGTTCCTTCAACAGAATAGAGTGGAATCTGGAGAAGCATCTTTCCTTAAGGAAAATGGGGAAGTTATCTGTTTTCCCAGCTCCGCAGTGTGTGTCCCAATGCTGAGAGGAAACAGTACTTTCAATTGCACTGAGCTTGTTGCTTCAAGGAGGTTGTGGGCTTTTATGCCCAGTGAGCTCAACACAGCTGTTATTTTTCCTTATAGTATTTTCAGCATAGCCAAAATCATGGGGTGGAGAAGTTAAAGCTTCCCTAGTGGTTGCAAACTGCAGCAAAGTTTGGATATTTAACAAAGTAATGTGCTGTTCAATGATTACCACACTAAATAGAGAATTTGTACTGAATACTCCCAGGAATTAGGAAAACAGATGAGAATGATGCCACTGCACATGATGATTTAAAAGGTATGGTATAATACACAGGATACACGAAAAGCTGGAAACAGAAGTGTGCATGCAACATTTGGATAGCAACTCCAGTTTCTTACACAGTTTAACCCCATACTATTCCTATATTCCGCTGAAACCTAGGAGAAGAAATCTAGATTTCTTGAAATTATTTTTTGTTTATATGCATTGTACACAAAAAAATACACATGTATTGTTTAATGAGAATAAATTGACTCTGCTAATAAAAAACACTACTAGCATTTTTAATATATTAGCAAAAAGCTTTTAAGGTAGAATAAGATCTATGAGTTAAATAGCTTAAATCTGAACATAGTCTTCTACTTCTGAGTTGGCACGTTTTTCCTGCTTCCTTCCAGTTCTCTCCACCCCCTCACCCAAATAAATGAGAGCCAAAAGGATTAATGTAAGTTGCTAAACCAAAAGCAGCTCCTCTGAACCTTTTCCCCTAAAGCAATGTAGTACAGTTTCAAGTGAAATCTCTGAGGAGGAGAAGGAAATTACTTCAGGCAAACTTTAATCACAGTTTTGTGAAATTAGGTATGGTGTTTCTCCTATGTAACCTTGCTTGCTTTGCTTGCTCAAGCTTAATGCAATAGCCAATACAGTCCTGATTTTAGCACAGTTTTTGCAGGCTTCAGCAGATAACTCTTTTATTTTTATTCTCTGAGAATCCATAGAATTTCTTAAGTTTACCTTTAAAAGACCACCCAAAGAAAAAAGAAACTTTTTTTTAGTTTTATTGCCAGATATTTCTTTGCCAAGATTTTAGAGACTGTGAAGTTCAGTGTGACTGAAAGACTGGAAAACCAATAAATATTTCTGTTATGTATCATATAGCTATGAGTCTAACAGACACGTAGCCAGTGCTTTTTTTATATAAAAAAAAGGTGCTGGAACTCACACACGTCATACAACCCGCCTTGCCTACCCTACAAGGTTCCATCCAAAAAGTTGCCGGAACTCCTTTCTGGGTGTTCTATGAAAAAAAAAGCCCTGCAACATGGATAATTCGCTTTTAAAGATTGTAGGGGTGTGTGTGTGTGTGTGTGTGTGTGTGTGTGTGTGTGAGAGAGAGAGAGAGAGAGAGAGAGAGAGAGAGAGAGAGAGAGAGAGAGAGAGAGAGAGACAGTCAGATAGACAGAGACAGAGACACACACAAAGAAAGATTTCTGTTCCAAATCACTTTCCTTTTTGAAAAAAGAAAGCAAAAAAACTTCTATAGTTAAAAGGCTTCATTCTGAAAGCGCTTCTCTTGTTGGAAAAGGCAGACTTAGAGCAAGGAAGTCATTATTTCTGGGGGGAAAGTTTTTGTTACAGCAGTTGGTGATTTGAGCTAAAGGAAGGAACAATTCTTAATAAGGAAAGAAATATTGCATCTCATTTACAGAGAAACAAAAATATTAATGGAGACCTATCATTGATAAAGAGAAAGAAAAGTAAATAAATCTCTCATCAATCAATCGCATGTGCACTGCTAGCAGCCCAACAATTGGTTTTAATGGTATTTAAATTTAAAACTTTGCATCAAATGGCCAACAGCCCAAAGCAACAAGTAATATTCATACAGTGAAGGCCTTCATAATCAAGAATATAATGCACATATTTCTGTACTTCAGCTCAATTTAGTATTTGATATTTCATAGAAATATGCAATATTGTATTTTTTTTAAATAGACTTATGCAAAATATAAACATCTCACTCTGTATTAGATGATTCTAACCAAGCAAGGGTAGATTGCTTTGAACAGACTTCTAGAATGGTATATTTCCATTTGGATGGTTTGTGAAAAAAAATTCTGACCTAAAATATTTTGTTATTTTTAAAAGAGCAGCAAATCTCTTTTTGGCTGGAATTGGAAAAGACTATCCTCTTTCACAGGAAGTAAATCCTAAGTTTTGCCTCTAAACAAATGGAAAGGAGATATCAGCTCCCCCCCTTGCCCATCAATAGTTACAAGCTTGTAGACATTGCAGATGTGATTTAACCTGAGTATCAATACAATGCCATATATTAAAAAGACCTTGGGGCAATTCCAGTTATCAGATATCTTTAAATGTATTTATTGTACTGTTATGGGGTTCACATTTAAGTAACAAAGAACCATTTGAATAAATGATGTGTGAACAAGGAAGGAAGGAAGGAAGGAAGGAAGGAGCAAACATTTGTGTTCACAAGAAGCTACATACCATTTTCTTTGTGAACAAAGGCTCCCTGAGGTGATTCTGGGATACCTTTCCAGATTGTGATTGATTTGGGATAACCTGTGTCCATAGTTCTTATATCTTCACTGTATCTCCAATACCTGAGAGAAAGAATGAGGTTAAAATAACGTTTATGGATGATTTTTGTTTCAGTGTCTGAAATGAAGTACTCTGTGAAATGATAACATTAGGGAACCTGGTCACTTCTATTTAAATATATACTCCTAACTAGTAATAAAGACATTTAAACATTTGATGATTTAATATATATATTTCATTAAAGATTAATCTATCCTGAGAACCAAATCAATGAGTGGTTATATATAATTAAAACAGTTATGATACCTAGGGATTAAATCCAGCTGTACAGTGACAAATATTATATGCAATAACCTATATCAATGCTTTATTCAAGATTTTAATCATATTTTGAGTTAGCACTTCTAATTCTATGCTGTACTTTTTAGAGTCTTTTTTAAATTCCATTGTGCAATATTTATCAGCTCAAGCTGCTAGATTCCTTACATATCTTAATTTATAAGGAAATAACACTCCATGAACAGAATATACATATTTAAAAATAAAAAGAAAATCAGATTGCAGTCTTATGCATACATAGCTCAGAAATAATTCTCATTACTTAAAAGAAAATATATGGAATTTTCTTAATAAACATTTTTTCTAAATTATTTATATTTTAAAAAGGAGTTATTTTTTTATTCCTATACCTTTTTTCCCACGGTTATTAAAAAGGATTATTTCTGGCCTCAAGTGCACATTAGAAATTGTGTATTCTATATATTCATTCTTCCACATTTATGTATGGCTATCTGCATCTGGTATACATACAGTAAGAATGCAATTTGTAACTGAAAGTATTTAGTCTTATCCTTAATAAATTTGCAATACACCTTATGTATGCAGTTCTTAAGAAGATATACTGCCTTATTAATTGGGAGCATAGCCCTGCTTTTCTGATTGGCTTAAGAGTATGGATATCTACATGCAAGTAGCTCTGAAATCTTAATCAGAACAAATACCATATTCAGTTTGTGGACTTTCAAGCTACAGACCAAATTATGCTAAATGGTGGCAATGGGGCTAGTAACATTGACTTTGATATTTACACTGATTTCTAAATTAGTGGATTTGTGTAATAAGCAAAAAATGATCTCTGCTGTAGCACTGATGACAACATCCAGTCAAGTATACATGTTTGTGTGAGAGAAACACTTAAATCAAAGCTTCTACAGAGATTCTTTGTCAGTATCCATGTACATTGGGAGAAGTTCCATATAAAAGTTCTATTTGCTAAGAAACATTTTATAGAAAAAATAATTAACATTTTTTTTCCTTAAAAAAACCCTGAAATCCCTTTCCCTGGACTGCAATGCAGTAATGCATTTCCACCAATATGCCCACATTTATTTCTTCCTAACTTGGTGAAGTGATTTCTTGATTTATATGCAAAGGGCTGCGGTCTGTATCCATAGCTTTACAATGCTTATATTTAAAAGTAATTTGAGGCATATTTGATCAAAGTAACTCTCTAAGTTTTTAATAAGTCTTATTTCAGAGTCAGGATTGCAGAAAAGAAAGCATCTTTGCACTTCCATTATATTCAATAAATGTTTTGAGACATTGTGGATAAGAATTTATTTTTGCATGAATTAAAACAACTGAAAAAAACCTGTTTTAGGCATTTTTTCCTATGCACACAGAAAAATAAAAAGATCCATAGCATGTCAGGTAATTACTATGAGTAAAAATAAAATGAGGAAAATTCAGTGATTTATATAATATGACTGATTGGTTTATAGATTTTCAGTATTTTTCCCTTGCTATTTACTGAGCAGTAATTCTGAATACAAAAAAATGTGAGGTTTTGGGAAACCAAACATTCCTTTCATTACATACAGGCATGATGATAATGATGATGATGATGGAAAGGACCTTGGAGGTCATCTAGTCCAACCCCCTGCTCAAGCAGGAAACCCTATGCCATTTCAGACAAATGGATGTCCAATCTCTTCTTAAAAACTTCCAGTGTTCGAGCATGCACAGCTTCTGGAGGCAGGTTGTTCCACTGATTAATTGTTATAACTGTCAGAAAATTTCCTCTTAGTTCTAGGTTGCTTCTCTCTTTGATTAGTTTCCACCCGTTGCTTCTTGTCCTGCCTTCAGGTGCTTTGGAAAATAGCTTGACTCCCTCTTCTTTGGGGCAACCCCTGAGATATTGGAACACTGCTATCATGTCACCCCTCGTCCTTCTCTTCATTAAACTAGACATACCTAATTCCAGCTACTGTTCCTTATATGTTTTAGCCTCCAGTCCTCCAATCATCTTTTCTGCTCTTCTCTGTACTCTTTCTAGAGTCTCAACATCTTTTTTACATCGTGGTGACCAAAACTGGATGTATATTCCAAGTGTGGTCTTACCAAGGCATTGTAAAGTGGTATTAACACTTCATGTGATCTTGATTCTATCCCTCTGTTAATGCAGCCTAGCACTGTGTTGGCCTTTTTGGCAGCTGCAGCACACTGCTGGCTCATATTTAAGTGATTGTCCACTAGGACTCCAAGATCTCTCTCACAGTTACTATTATTGAGCAAGGTACCACTATACTATACCCGTACATTTGGTTTTTCTTGCCTAAATGTAGAACTTTTTTCACCATTGAATTTCATTTTGTTAGATAACATCCAGTGTTCAACTCGGTCAAGATCCCTCTGTATCTTAAGCCTGTCTTCTGGAGTGTTGGCTATTCCTGCCAGCTTGGTGTCATCTGCAAATTTGATGAGTTCCCCATCTATCCCCTCATTAAAATCATTGATGAAGATGTTGAAGAGCACTGGGCCCAGAACAGAGCCCTGGGGCACCCCACTACACATTTCCCTCCATGTAGATTCAGTTCCATTGAGGACCTCATGCTGAGTACAGCTGGTCAGCCAAGTAGCTGCAAAGCAGATATGTATGACTTGATGAAGGATCAATCCTATTTAACATGGTTTGGATAGCAGATAAGATAATACACATAAGTGAATGTTACTTGCAGAGACTGGGTTTCTTGTCCCTTATTTTATAACTCTATTATGCCTATTTTATAGTGTACAATACAGTTCTTATATGTTTCCTTGAAATGGCTAAAAATAGTGACCTCAGTGTTTAGCATTCCTAGTCAGAGTCTTTGCAGGACCCCAAAATAATGGGAAGGAGAATGGGGGTGACTACCATGATCACAAAATGAAAAACAACCCAATAAGAGGCAGAGTAATAACAAATTGAAATCACAAAGATTCAAAAGGTGCATAGAGACAAATGTCTGCCTCCTGCTTTAATTGAATAAACTTAAGATTTATGCAGGAAACATGTTCTTGCATTTGTTTGATTCTTTGGAATTTGCTTGTCTGTCTGTCCCTCTGTCTATCTGTCTGTTCATCCTCTTTGTGTTGAAAAGCTGCGTAGCACTTCCAACATGATCTGCAATGTCTTCATTTTTTTCACAGGAAGCAGCAGGAAAAGATGCTGCTAGTTTAAGGTATTGCAGATTGGTGCCACAATCTATTCCCAACACATTCCTCAGAGATTGAAGTTAAAATGTTATCCAGCAATACTGTACAGTTTCTCAGGTCTATCTTTCTCCTGCGAGGTTATAACATCTTTTCACAGCCTTTGCAGGAAGACAATTTTCCTCCTTTGGCTTTGTTATCACCTTTTGCCTCACTTTTTTATGCCTACCAAATCATCACAGTTAAAGAAGCAACGGTGGGTTGTTCTCAGTTCAGAAAGAACTTTGTAAGAGGCTTATATGTGCAATTAAAACCAGTGGGAGAATTCAACCTATATTACATTAAGGAATTTTTAAAAAAGGGATATAAACATTATGTGTTGAGAAGCTTAGTGTGATATGGACTTATTCCCACTAAGTGGTCAATATCCTGTAATAGCTCAATTATCTTAGCATGGTTCACATTTTTCAAATCTGTTCCTTTATATGCTGTATTGCATTTATGACCTGCTGGGTCTCATTGTGCTTGTTCTGGATCTAAAAAGTAACCTTCCCATCAACAGAAGTTTTTCTGTTATTTTGGTTTTTTTGCTTTTTGGATACAGTTTTTCTCTCTCTCTCTTCGTCATCATAGTATTTTTTAAGAAGAATTTAACTTAGTAAAGCTGTCAATGGAAAAAAAAAAATCAAATCTATAATGGATAGATGCCTACCATTTAAATAGTCCCCAAAGCCTATGGGCTGAAAATTGTTCAGTTACATATATATTTAAAATAATATTCACATCCATAACAAGCAAATTATAAAACAGTTTGTCCATCATAGAAGTTGATAGCAATAATGCATGTCAGCTTCCAAAATGCTGCATGTTTTCCATCCACACAATTGTACACTCTGGAGTAAAGGCTCCATTTCTAAAAATTGGATTCTATGCTTTTAATAAAATCATACAAGTCCAACTAAATAAATATTTCACATTTTTGAATACATATTAACACTAATAATAAAGGAGAACAACAAGCCATATAAATAGTATGATTGTTTCCAGAATGAACACACTAACCTGTCTCCTTTGAAAAAATAGGTTTTCCCAACATCCTCCCACCAAATTGCTGAATCAATACCATGAGGAGGAATCCCACTTCCTAATGATATTAAATCATGAGGATACCCTGGCTGGAGGGTGGTGTCCTTAAAGATCCAGAACTTGTTACCTGTGCAAGAAAAACAAAACACTATATTAGTCTTTGAAAAGAAATTCTGTTTAAGAAGCTATAAGGTGATTTTCACCAGAGCCCAATGTGTTGCATAATGACATAAATAAGACTAGGTCCATGCCACAATACATATAGAGGGCATAGGGTCCAAGTTACAGTATATGAGTATGGGACTGCAATTGCCTGGGTGGATCATAGTTTCAGCTGGCTATCTATTTTGAAATTGCAATATCCTGCAAGATTCCATGAAATGAACTTTTTCAAAACATGTCCATCTTTAGAAGCCCAAATCTCTGATGATGTTGCAGCCAATCAGAAGCAAATTGTCACTTTATAGTTTAGACATGCTCCAACTGTGTCCCCTAGGGTATATTGCCCAAACCTGTTGCTTTAGAAACTGACAAGTAGAAAAATGGGACTCCAAATACTCTTTCTTATGTTAGCAAGTTATATAGGCAGCCTTAGGCACTGTTTTCTATCAATAGTTTGAAATGAATTTTTGTTTCTCCCTAAAGACTAAGGATCAGATCTGTGCTAGAACCATTGTGACAGAAAAACTTGAAAAATATTTCTATTTTATAGATTTTCCACAGTAGGCTTAAATAAAGGACAAAAAAGGAGAACGCAAGGAGGAAAGAAAAGGGAGAAAAAAGCCTGATCTCTTCTCTTTCTGATTTATAGAATCTCTTTTAATAACACATTTAATTAGGAAATGGGTGAAGCTTTATTCCTTTGCATGCTCAGTGTTAGAGTAAATCTTTTATTAATTTCTTTATAATTCACTTCAAGCCTATTGCTGGTATTTTTTTTTTTTTTACAAATGTATCTTTTTATTCAAGAAAACAATATAGTTCTCAAGGACCTTCTCTCAAAACTCTCTCTCTAAAATAAAAGTTTTGTTACAGCTGTTTCTTGAAGATGATAAACTTTACATTTGGAATACTTTGCTTTATTTGCATATCTTTGTAGAATAGGATTAAAGGTAAGAAGAAAAGAAGGGCATAATAGCATCCATTGCAGCAGAGGTAAATATCATTTGGTTGTATATTAAATCACAATATAGTTTTCTTTTGCTGCACAAAAGAAGGAAGGAGGGACAATTCACCTTGTGCAAAAAAGCAGGCTATATTCAGAAACCTTTTCTTTTGCATATCTAGGACCTTAGAAATATATTCATGTTCCAAAAATATTATTTCAATAAAGCATAATCACATTTGGGGTGGGGGAGGAAAAGTTTTACAAAATATCTGCTGCAGATCAAAGATTTTCTAGTTCTGTTGTTGCACAGTTTCCTAGAGGTATACTTAAAGATAAATCTTCGTGAAGTTAACTATTAAAAGTCCCAATGAAAGTCCAAACCATATTTTCCTGAGGATTAATAATGTAAATTCATTTCATATTAAATAATTAGCTCCATTTCCCAGTAAAATGGATACTTCAGCTTTTGTTTAGCAATTTTTCTAAACTGTATACTGACAACAGCTAATGGTTATCCAGTTCCTTCTTGCTGTCTTTCTAGGTGGGTTTAATGATTGGAATGGACACATTTTAAGACCTGCAGTAAAGTCCTTAAAAATGTTGATTTTTTTCAGTCTTTTTTAAAACTTTGGAAGAGTTTTAAGGCAAACTACTTCCACTTCCTCCTGACTGAAATCATGTCCCTAAAATGTAACTTTTGTTACATTTGTTGGCAATATAAGCTTAGGAATCTCAGAAAAACCCAGCCTTATCAGTGGGTTGTGCAACCCTATCTGTAAATAAAATGGGATTGGTGGTGGATCTCTCTTGTTCAGCCAGAACTTAATTAACAGATAGCATGTCTCAAGGTGCTTTTTCAAAAGGCAACGGGTTTTGTTTTTCTTGAAGACATTTCGCTTCTCATCCAAGAAGCTTCTTCAGTTCTGAACTTGAATTGAAGAAGCTTCTTGTATGAGAACCAAAACATCTTTAAGGAAAACAAACTCCAGTTACCTTTTGAAAAGCACCTTTAGGACAACCATGGCCTGGATGACTCAGAATCTCCATAGACATTTAGCAGACAGGATCTTTTCTACAGGAGATCTCACATGAGTTTACAATGACTAGATGGATACACTGACCTTGATTTCAACTCACTGTCGTCTAATGTTCTTAGCATGCATACATACTTTTCCTACATTATTTAAGAAATACAAAAAAAAAAAAACCCACAAGTTCATACAGTATAAAACAGAACGTTTGATATACAGTATGTTGTTGAAAAACACTGAAAAGTTAGGTGGCCTTGAAATTAAATTAAATTAAATAGACAAATGGCTGGAAAAATGGCTTGGTGAATCTCAAAATCCTTTAAACCTTTGATTTGGATATGAATGTCATTATCTCTGGAAAATCCATGCTGTGGGTGTTCACGTTGCTATATTCATCTCTAGTGCTTGGGCTTAAACCAACTACTCCTTAATCAGCCCCTTTCCCTCTGTATTAATCTCTAGATTGCTGCTGGATTTCAGGAGTATGGCTGTTTTATTTATTGATGCATACATTATACAACTCATACAACTGTGTAAAATAATGGAAATAGAACAGTCTTGTTAACCCTCCATTATAGAAGCATTATAGAGTAACACAATTATATAATCATGTCATGTCTTTTCTTTTGCTGTTTAACTCTAAAAAGATTAAACTCTAAAGGGTAACTGGATATATCTTACTTTGAAACTGATGGGCAATGTCAACAGTAATTATTTATTTGTAAGTTTTCTCCTGGGCTCACACTGAGATACAGTATATTATGCATGCACTAGATAAAGGGTTTATTTTGCCTCAGCTGTCAACTTTATCTGTAGTGCAGACTATATACAAGAAACCCAAACTGGAATGAAGCTTTTCTTTTTTAAAAAAGTTTACTTTTTGTTTCTTAGGCTCAAGAAGTCAAAGTTGACAGATTTAAGTTGAAGGATGAGCTCATGAATAGAGAATTTTGGATGAGTCTGAGTAAGGAAACTGAACAAAAGCTTTAATATTTAGAACATAATGTTAAAAAGATTTTAAGAGAAGAAACAGACCAAAACTGAACTGAAGTTAAAAAATGAAACTGGGCCTAGTTCAACCATTATGTTCCTTTATGGAGGCTGTTAAACAACATTTTTGCTGAGTTCTATATGAGACATATCAAAATTCTTTTGTGAAGCAAGATGAATATGCACGGTATATAATTGTTATGCATCTTAGCTTTCAACTTGCTAAAGATAGATGTATTTTGCACAAAAAAGTCAAAACTATTTCCTATACAGTGTAAATCTGTTGAAAAGCACAAAAAATAATTAGAATCTATGTAGCTGATTTGATAGATAGTAAAATGCATAAATTAAGTATCAGTATAATTTTAGGTGAACACTAAAATTACAAACAAATAACAAATTATTCCTGACCAAATTTACTATTCAAGTTGTATAATAAGAGGAAAAAATACCTAGCTTTGTTGTTATTTTTACTATATCGTAAACATTGGCATGGTTCATTTCATACTATTGCATCATCTTCCCCTATTTTATAATTAGGCATTATTTGATTTTTATCCATGTCCTGTCTGTAAATTTTATCTTACGAAATATATCTGCCAGCAATGGGATCAACAGTGTTGAGAGTCATGGCAGCTGGGGTATGAATTTTGCTACAATTTTTATTTTGCTGTATTTAGCTTGGTACAAGTTTTAACATGGCAGATGTCTTTGACAGTTCACTTTTCACACTGTTTAAATTCTGTGTCTCACTAGAACGAACTTCACAATCTGTATCTCTAATGTTAAAAGCAGTTACATACTTCTATAGCAGTGGTTCTCAACCTTTTTAATGCCGTGACCCCCCCAACCGGTCGTAAGTCGAGGGCTACTCAACCAGTCATAAGTCGAGGACCACTCAACTGGTGCAGCACCGTTTGCAGAATGGGATTTTTGGAGGGCTCAGCAGGGCAGAGACATCCTGGACAATTCCTATTGGCTTTTGAAAGCCAATAGAATTAGACTCTACTCAAGAGAGTCTATTCTATTGGCTTTCAAAAGCCAATAGAATAAAAGGGAGTCGCACAGCTCAGGAAAAGGGGAAAAAAATGGCGGACTGCGTTGTTTGGCGACCCCCGTGAAATGGTCGTTCGACCCCAAATGGGGTCCCAACCCACAGGTTGAGAACCACTGTTCTATAGCATGTCTTGTTCCTATTCAGCAGAAAAAGCAGCCCTGAATAAAATAAAAGAATGGCACTCCTTTTAATATATTATTCCTATTATACTACCTATTTGCAGTATATGCCCATAAGGTAGAAGGCTACGTTATATAAAAGTTTAAAAAAGACTTTACTAAGAGAAATATACTTTCAAGTAAGCTGTCAATTTTGTTGATTTTGGTACTGAAATATCAGTGGAAATGTAAGGTACATAAAATGTTTTATACACACATACATATATATACTTAGACACACAAACACACACACAACCAAAAGCTTTTTAAATTTTGAAATTAAATAAACCTTTCATTTTATAGAAAGGCAATATATCTTAAGATGGGATATGGCATAGTACAAATCTAGCATGTATTCAAGAACTTTACCTGCTCTATCAAATTTTTATTACTTAAAAAAACTCTTTAAAAACTCCCTTTTTATGACTTTGTAATCTTGTGGCTTTATAACAGTATATAGCCTCTGGTATATCCTTTTGTATGAATTTTTTTCTATAACATTTTCTAAAACGAATATTTTTTCCAACAACTTTCTCAAATGCATGTAATTTTGGATGCAGCTTATCAATCAGTGAATATTTTGAGGTAAATATTAATTGACTCTTCATTCTGGAAAAGATCCACTCTAATTAATTAAATAATTTTCTTCGAAAAAATGTGATACATTTCTATTACATTTCTAATTTGAAATTAGATCTAAAAGATGAGCACCATTGTATCAAGCTAAGGTTACAAAGTAATTTTTTTCTGAGTTACAACACAATACCCCAAATAATGCTGCAT